CAGGAGCCGTTCTACGTGAACTTGTGTCAGCGCGTGTTAGCACTGACGACCTGCGATGGCTGGCGCGGACTGGCGAGTCGAGCGGGTCAGCGTCGACCCGCGGAACAGTACGCGTGGGGCGTCTGGATAAGGGTTACGGTAATATATATATATGTATCATGTGACCGTAGGTTGAGGGTATATATATATCACTGCGAAGAGTAGATAAAAACGGAAGAGTTACACACCAGTTCCCGCTTTTTAACCGAATCTTTTCTCAAATCAAGCAATTTGTACAGTCGACCGGGAATAAAGAAAGTCAAGGTGTATCACGTTCTGCAGGCTTATTATGACCACTGAAGCACTCACGCTTCATGGTACTGATATTCGTCTTACATATATTTGCTAGCGATTGGCTGTAAATCGTAATCTTCGCACGAGCTGAATTCGATAAATTTACCCCGCTAAAATGGCGACTTTTTGGCGAGCTGTGTTGCCTTCGTGTTAGACATTATTAGAAGGCTATCGGTGCGCGCCAATACTTTTAGCGTGCCGCCGATTAGGGGTTTATGTACTTGATACCTACCAGTGCGCGTCCGTACATGTTATACTCTCTCTATCACCAACACCTGCCTAAACCTACTAAGACAGAGAAATATTGTTATTATTGTATATTCACTCTATAAGTAAGATAGTATGTCAATTTTCTTGTGTTCGCGATATCAATAACTGGAGCGCGGTCTCGCAGGGGGTTCTTCATCGGAGATTGTGCAAAATTCGAGATTTAGAGTTGTTTCCTGTGTGTTATTGCGTGTGTTGTGTTGCGTTGTGTTGTTATCTGTATCTACTCTTGATATATAGTATAGTATAGTATATATATACGTATATTATAGGGTTAGGGTATATATATATATATATATATACTATATATATAGGGTTAGGGGTATATATATATATACTTATAGGTTAGGGTATATGAATATATATATATATATAGGTTAGGGTATATATATGATATATATATATTAGTATATAGTATAACCCTAACCAATATGAGTAGTATATGATAGGTCAGCCTACAACGCAGCGTGTACGTGTGTGGTGTGGTAAGGAGGTTAGGGTTTAGGGGTAGGGTTTAGGGTGAGGGTTATATATCTATATACGCCTAACCCTCATATATATATATACCGCTAACCCTATATATATATCATATATATTAGGGTTAGGGGTATATATATATAGTTTAAAAGTAGGGGTTTTGTTAGGGTATATATATATACCTCACCCTAACCCTACCCTAACACACACTGCACCACGTTACACGCGTGCGTGCACGTTCACGATGACGGCCGCGCATGGCGTGCACATACACGGCGTGCGTGCGACGTACAGCGCAATGGCGTTGGGCGCGTACAATACGCTGCGTGCGCATACACGCGTGCGTGCCATACACGCGTGCGTGCGGCATACAGCGTGCGTGCAACGTACACGCATGCGTGCGCGTACACGTCATGCGCGCACGTACAGCGGCTGGCACGATACACGCGTAGCGTGCACATACACGCGTACCCGCAGCATACACAACGTGCGGCGCACGTACAAGCAGCGTATCGCCGCACATTACACATGCACGCATGCGGTCATGTGCATCTGTGCACGCAGACTACACTCACGCTGCACGCTATTGTACGGCAGGCCGCAGGTAGACGCCCGCGTGTAGTGTACAGCTAGCGCGCGTGCACAATAAGGGACTCGGCTGCACGACTCTTGGACAAAACGCCCAATGCTCCTCGTAGCAACACCGGCATCCTGACTCTTGACTGTGCCAGGAGTCTTTAGCGCCTAGTGCGTGCGGAAGCCGTCGGCTTTATGCCACAGAGAGTCGTGTTAGCTTCCTTGCGCTGACCGCAGATCTGTATTGAGCTCCAATCATTCTGTGAGTTCTGTCTGTACCGGAGGGGCGGGATTGCGTAACGTCGTCATCGTAGTTGTTATTGTTGTTGTTTTGTTGTTGTGTTGTTTGTTTGTGTCTGCTGTTTCTGATTGGCGGGCAACGGAGAGCGAGAACACAGCGGAAAGAGAAGCATGTTGGGGGATGCGGATGCGGCATCAGCGAGTGGATTAGAGACGGGCGGGTGCCGGAGGCATGATAGTGATTTACCGTTGCACTAACTCCTTCTGCGCAGTCGTGTTTTCCTCTCTAGAAGTTTGTGTCGCGGCGCTGGTACTGGTCCTATACCATGTGTTAGCCGATGATTGTATACCAATGTTATCACGTCATTGTTATACAAGTGTATCACGATGATTCTTATTACCAGTTTACCATCTTACACTGGGCACTCACGATTGTGTTATACAAGTACGTTATAACAATCAGACATGCACTGGCGTAGAGGGTCGAAAGGGGGGACACAAGGGGGCCATGGCCCAGCCTGTTGATTGCAAACAAAACAGAACACAAATTTTTTTGCCTGCTCTCCCACGCGTCTTTCAACAGGACTGGCCACAATTCCTGTACGTTCTGCATCGCTGTCTGAACGAACTTCATCTCCAAAATGAAGCATTGTCAAATCTAACTTCGTTCTACAAAACCCAGCCACGATTCTCTGCCTACTCCATTCTCGCTTTTCGTTGAACAGAGAGTTAGTGAATGACACTTATGTCAACGAATCCTCAAAAATCGACGAGAAGACTGACTTTTGGATTTTGCAGAATCTGCCAGCAGGCACAAGAGCAAAAGCACGACAAACATGACTAAAGAAGAGAGGATAATTCCCTCTTTGCTCAGATTTGGTGTGTTGCAAGTTGGCTTTGATTGAATTTTATGGTTTGAACTCTTATTGACAGAAAAAAAAGAATGGAAATGCTTTGTGACATACTGTTGCATATATTCTGCAACTGATATACGGCCATTTTGCAGAAACCTCGTTTTTTTATTTCAATCCGATTTCAACACTTTTTAAGTAAACCTGTTCTCTTATTCAGGGGAGGCAAAACAATTCTTTTCATTGGTAAATTCCTTTTTATTTTAATAGAGGGCCTATATTGGCAGCCTACCTTTGTTTTTATTTGGAATCAATTTCAATATGGGTTTTTAGTTCTCTCATCAGAGGATAACAAGAAACATTTTTTAATACGAACAAAAGTTAAATGTGATCTTTAACGGCTATATGTACTTCTAACGATGTAAATTTTGTATTTAAATAAAATTGCATGTGATCAGTGCAGGTTCCAACACATCTACCTGTTTTTTTCCGGTAGACTTTATCGATTTCATTAAATGGCCTCTACTGTTTTCAAAAAAATAATTTAACTTTTAACTTTTATATGAGGAACTGAAAACAGTTTATGACGGATAACATGAACAGTGCATGGTACCTGCTAACAAACACAGAATCAAACTAATTCGCAGTCACTTCCCGTCAGTGCTTGAATGAGGACAATAGCGTAGCTAAAGGGGGGGGGCACCACACGGAGGCCATGACCCCTCTTGATTCGCGAGAGTACGAAAAATTAAGACCGAACCGGGCCTGAATGGGATTGGTCTATACAGGCTGATTACCTACACCTAATAATGAAAATGAAAGCTGAAAAATCGCCATTTTTGATGCACATCATTTCAAAAAATTTTACCCCTACTCCGTGGGAGGCCGAAACACCCTCCCCCCGTTCGAGAAATTCGCTTCATCACCGTGGTCCGGCTTAACTCGCTTTTCTTCTCGCCTCCCTGAAAAACATGGCTTCGTACCCCATTTATGGTCCTAGCTAACGGCGCCTCACCACCTCGCGTCGTGTAACCTCCCACGCAGCCTTCCGGCGGCACAGCCAGGGCCATCGATCCCATGGTGGTTGTTGATCGGATCGAGTTGGAAAAAATAAAAGCGAGGAAGGGGGGTTCATATGGAAGGGATTAGCATATGCCACTATCTCTGCATCATAAGTTACCCCCTAATACTGAACCTTTTAGTGTGCAGAAAATGCCATTTTCATGCTACATGGAATTTTCACAAAATCTCCTAGCCGTGGAGGGGATATCCCCCTCCACACCCTAACCCCCTCGGTCGCCGTTCGCTCCTACGCCTTGGCCCCCCTGTTTCCAATTGGCTGGCTACGCCACTGGTCATACATGATACCTATAAGAATTTTATCTGAAGAAAAATTACGTTCATTTAATTGTGAAGTTAAATGTAAACATAACCATATAAGATATGTCCTACCATACGGTCCTACGGGCCCAAATTTGAGTTCGGTCTGCACCATAGAAATAACCAGTCTGCACCACTGATCTCTATAATATATCTCTATATATATATATAATATATAATAGATTTATGCATTATAGAGCATCCCGTGGTCTGCACAGCCGTCTGTCAGCTGAATTATGGTCATAGATGACGCCCTTGATTGCGAAAAAGCGGCACAGCCAATCCGCGTCATCTCCTTGTTAGGCAAGCAGGCATCTGAGGCAAGTCCTTGCTCCGAGGGCAGCGCATATAAAATTTATAAAATTATATAAAATCATTTATCATCATAATATATAATATATGATAATATATGATTATATATATATATATATATATATATATATCATAAGATATATCAGGTGATTTATACGCTCTGCTACGAGCGAATGTAAACGAATGCTGGACTGGACTACTCTTGAATGCAGGGTAGTTTTCTATCATGGCGGACGACGAAAACAATCTGCCACTTCTAGCTTCTGAAGAAGTGAATCAGGTTTCATTGGTATAAAATTCATATTCTTTATTATAAATCATGTACACGGGTATGAAATTAACCTTATTTTATTATTATTAAATCTTTATTGCATGAATTCAGATACAAATACATGTACTGACGACAGTTTTTTTCATGGATAAAAAATCTGATAAAACTAAAACTAAAACTTAAAAGTAAAAGTAAAATAGTGTCAGTGATTAAGGCACACTGTAACATCATTTTGGCACTCATACGTACACCACGGCCAGCCGTGCTGAGTCTGGTATATACACGAATTTGTGATCTATAAATAGTCTGCTCTAGATAGTCATCATTTACAGTTGCCAGAAACTGGTCCCTTAAAGGCTTAATTATGAGAAGGGAAAACACTCTGAAAGTCACCAGTAGAAACTCGCTCTGTCGCTGGCTTGAACCAGCGACGGAGGTAGGAGTTTAGTCTCACTGCAAAATCTTCAAACGTTTTTGTACGTACCTTGCGAGCATTTTCGAAATTTAACCCCGTAGGCATCTGGTGTTATGTTATAGCGCCGTGGGTTCAAGGATAGAGAACATGGGTCCCAATAAAACCAATGTCATTTACATCAATATAAATATAATATTATATCAATATAATAGGTTAGGGTTAGGATTAGGGTTAAGGTTAGAATTACGGTTAAGGTTAGAATTAGGGTTAGGGTTAGGAACATTGGTTTTATTGGGACTCATGTTCTCTATCCTTGGGCCGCGCCGTGCTGTAGCACCAGGAACCTTTCCGTAGCCATTCTTTTTAGTATCTGGGAGAAGATGAAATGCTTGCTGGGCTTTACCAGTCATCTAGGGCTCGAGAATGTGAGGCTGTGATTGTTCTTGTTCCAAGCCAGCACTGAGAGCTAGCCTCTCAAATGTGTCTAGATAACATGCCATATAATATATGATAGTATGCCATCTTCGTTCAACAGGCGGTGTAGACCATGTAACTGTGGCTGATGGTTATCCCTCCCATCGGTCGTGAACGTAGCAGCTAATGTCTGACACAGTCAACCTAGTCTCTCAAGAGAGCCACCATATCCGCTCCAGTTTCATTAGGAGGGCGGTCTCGCTCTAAAATATGAGGCTGTGATCTGGGGGCTTCTATTCGTTCCTCCTTCGTTTTTAGGACCGCCTGCTCAATGTTGACCTCGTACAAATGGGATATGCGCTCTGCTGTGTAGTGTCTTAAATACGCTGCGTTTTTTGTCACAGTGTACAACTATAAGTTCAAAAGTTCAACGTAGTACTTTGTAGAAATTAGCCTTAGGTTAGGCCGAAGCCGAATGTCGAAGAGGAGTGTTTCAATGTTAGCACCCTATTCGCAGTGCTACTTGTAGCGGTCCTACGCTAATATTCTATACCTATGTTGAGGTGACGTGCAATTTCCAAAAAAAACGCAACAACACCGGTTAATAAGGCTTCTAACGACCTGTGCTTTTATCGGAAACACTGGTCACGACGTTCACAGGCGCTTTCCAACCAACGTCGCGTCCCAACACCAAACATATACGACCCCGAGTCTTCATGGCAACCCTCGCTAGGTTGCGCCATGTGCCCTCTCGTGACAAACGAACAAAAGTTCAACGTTGTACTTTGTAGAAATTAGCCTAACAGCTAGATTAGCCTAACAGCTTAAAACTGCTACACAGTTTATAGTTTCCTCAGCGTGGCAGGAGGCTGCAAGGTGAGGACCACGGGTCTAGCAGCAAACTGGAATTCGGTAACCGTGTTAGATTGAGTAATTTTTTGTGTGAAATTTTTCCACGTGCATATTACCCTGGGGTAGACAGAGTAGCCATACATTAGTGTATTGTGTTGAATTTTTGCTGATATCTAAAGTGGCTACTGGCAGATGCTCTTATAATGAAACAACTACTTCTGGTGATTGATAAGACCATGTTAACCTCTGCTGGGAACTGTGTGTTTACCAGGCCAGCGTGGATTTTGAAGAATGGTATTGTTTGGGCGAGTACATTCCTTTTTTTGAGGGAGACCCAACCCAGTTGTTGTAGGAGTGTTGTGACACTGTTGAATCGTCTGTAGTCTCCACATACAAATCTGACTGCCCTTTGCTGAACCTTTTCCATTCTTTTAAAAATTTTATTGGTGTTGTGTGCTCCAGGCTGGGTGGGCATGTTCCAGCTTAGGATCGAAAAGGGATTGATATGAGCGCTATCTTTTTAACGTGACGAATGTGTGGGTTCCGCTCTCTTGATGACTAAATCAGATCAACTAATTTTAGTCATAGCTCTATGCAATGCTATTACTAATAAGATATATACATTTCAGTCCACCTCTGAAGTAAGTTATTCGTGTGGTACATAATGAGTGCAGGTTAATTTCTCAGTTCAATTTTGGCAGATATTCATCTAGTATTACTGGTTGTGCATGATACCCAACCTTCCAAATGCATTAAAGTATGTCTGTACACTTTCCATTTCTGTCCAATTGTTATTTCAGGAGGAGGATGGTTCTGTGCTAACACGACAATTGTCGCCTCAGCAGGATCCAGAAATCCGAACAGCTGCTTTCAACACAACAAGATATGACATAATCAAGGCAACCCAGTATGGCATAATCGATCGCTGCAAAGAGATTGTTGAAAATGGTATATAATTAAATTACCCTTACAGCTGGACATGTAGTTTTTATAGATGAATGAGTATATATGTATATTTAATTTTAATTAATGGACTTGCATGTACCTGTAGCTGGGTAGATGAGTATGGCTCATAGGGTCTATGTCCCCCAGGGTACTGCCGGAACGTACCCTGGGTACGGTCCGGTATACCGGAACGTACCCTGGTAACTATCTGATATAGTTAGGGTAAGGGAGTACTCAGTAGGCGTAGGCGACTCCCTAGACTCGGTAGTGGAGTAGGCGAGGTACGGTCTGGCATATTAGATAGTACCAGGGTACGTTCCGGCAGTACCCTGGGGGACATAGACCCTATGAGCATGAGTATGTGGGGGGAGGGGTGTAGAGCATTTGAGTCGTGATGTGATTGTTTGGCAGTTTAAAATGTCCCTTGAACGATAAGTAGCCGGCAAGTATTCCCATTCCGCTAAATGATATTCTTGGACGGAGTACACCACTGTTAGCACACCAATGAAATCATTAACCCAGTCTTCACCCTAATCAAAAATCCTGGCAGAAACCCTAGATTTGAGTCCATGACTTTTTTTATTTGTCTGAAATGTGGTTAGTGTTTGTATCAATTATTACAAGTCATGTACCTACAACGTTGTCAGTTTCAGTGTATTTTATCCAATGTATGCTAGCACGTGTGGCCAGATTACCTAAAAGCATCAGGTTAACATCCAAGAAAAATTCTGAAGTGTAGTACCTACTACCTGATCAACATCCTCCCTCCCGCACTCCCGGCTCCATGGGCCACCCTTTGGGTCCCGGAACTGAAATGGAATCTTCATTCTGTCTCTTAATTTTCACCATGTTGAGACATTTGTCTACTTACATTTGAAACATAACTCAAACAACATTGGTGGATAGGTACTGTTTGCCGTTGTAATATTACAGTAAAATATTCTATTATGCTACATCAGTTCCCCATACTAGTCTTCCCTTTATTCCTCTTCCACAGCAGTTGTTCTAGCAGCAGAATAGAGCGTGGAAACGCGTTGTGTAGAGTAACAAGTTGCTTGCTATTAAGCTGGTCTCAGACTACTCTCTTTACTGTCAATGTCTGTCCTTGGATGCTTTAGGGTACGATGTTAGACAGCCAGATGCAGAGAATGTCACTCTACTTCACTGGGCAGCAATCAACAACAGAAAGGAACTGGTTAGGTAGGACTAGTGCATTAATGTATTTATAGATAACCTAGCTGATATGATACAATAATTCTTTCCATTACAAACAACTGCTCATGTGCCTTGCCTATTCACATCTGCAACCAGCATATTATAATGTAAAGAGATGCATTAAAAATATCTTGCATGTTGGAATAGGTGGAGGAAAGAGGCAGCACATGCAGTGGCATTGCAATACCCAAATACCAACAGTAGTGTAGATGTATTTGTTTTAACGTTTAAAGTGATTGTGACGAAAATAGGGGTAGCATTAATAAAGTTAAATTTAACTATAAATAACGCTGATAGCTGGGCCAACATTGTATTTCAAATTTATTTTCTAATATAGGTTGGCCCGCACTAGGTAAATTAAGACATTTCTCTGTGTGCACTTTACCTTGTTTCTTATTTTGCTAGGTATTATTTGTCTAAGGGTGCTTACATAGACCAGTTGGGAGGTGACTTGATGTCTACTCCTCTTCACTGGGCAACAAGGTAACACATTCTATTGTTTGCTTTAAAAATACAGTTCAGGGAAAATTAGGTTCTAGTGACGCATTAGCGAACACGGGAGCTCCCTGTGTACGAGCGTCTAGTGTTTGTACCTGGCACATGTTTTTGTTTTAGGCAGGGGCATCTACAGATGGTTGTTTTGCTCATGCAATATGGTGCTGACCCCTCACTGAGAGATGGCGAAGGTAAGCTGTCTGTTAACCATTCAAGCATAGCAGCTGTGTAGGAAATTAATTATACTCATACGTCATTCGTTTTAGGCAAGTGACGGTAAGCAAGAGATCGCTTGCTGCAAACAGTTGGGCATGCAAGATATGACTAAAAGAGTAGAACGGGGTCCTTTCTTGTCCTGACTTAGGTTGCATTCTTATTTGCAATCACTGACAACCAGTCTTAAACTTGCCCCCTTTCACATTTGATCAATACATTTTTCAGCTCTTCCTGCATTTGGCATTATTATTTGTAAACCATGGACAACATGCGATGATGACCGATTGACAATGTGACATTATATTAGTACTACAAGTAACTAGTGCTGTAGTGTGACCATAGATCTCCGTGCTACGCTGCCTAGCTGGCATTTTTCCTTTTCACCTAATGTAGCACGGGCACATATGTTCACCTATGTATGCACCCTCACACATCATCTGCCAGGTTTTCTCAGAATTAAGGTATCTGATAATCTGATTCTTTAAGAGCTACCTTAAATACATATCAAATCTTACATATATCATCATGCCTTATTCTAGTGATTTTGTAGAATTGTTGTTGATAATATCTGCAGTTGCCATGCGTTGTATATGACCAGGCAAATAAGAAGTCTCATTCATACGCATGAATATTCGTATCATGCCATATAATCGGAAGTCTGAATTTTACACGATTTAGAGAGAAAATAGAACTGCAATTGCAACTGTTATCAAGTGCCAATTTATTCACTTCACCAGTTAAATTCACATCAGATTTTACCAATGAAAAGTGGGCCCAATCCTAGTTTAGCACCCCGGATTAGTTTAGCACATATGTCAACTATTAATCCGGGCCTGATGCACGCTAAATTTTGCAGTGTGTACACGCTATACCACGCTAAATACACGCTAGTCCGGACTAAGCTAGCCCCGCAAATGGAGGTGGGCCATGCCTGCTTAGAAGCATGCTAAGTTAGCCCAGACTAAGTTAGCACGTGCTAAACTTTCACAATACGCATGTGCGTATATGGGTCACATAAAAGTACAATAGCTGCCAGCTGACTAAACTAAGCATGTGCAGTCAACGCATGCTAACTTAGCAACGTTCGGTTTGAAGAGCGGATTCACCAACCAATCGGAGGGCTCGCAGCGCACTAAAGCTGACCAAAGTTTGCCGATCGCTATGCACATTGGGAAAGCCATGCCGTGTCACAGGTCACCAAAAATGACGCTCGAAATATCGCGGCTCGTCGCTTCGAAATTTTCTAACAGGTTATATTAGTTTAATACAGAGTACTGTGATACATAGTAAGTTCCAGGATAGCGGAGAAAGGTTCGTGTTTAGAATAAACCCAGTTTGGAAGTTCTAGTCTCTGAAAACGCACCAGCAAACCGCCCTAGCTAAGTGATTCACTTAGGCTCGCGTTGTAACCCTATCCTGTGTTTGGGTTACATTATTGTATCTACTTACCAATATGCAGATACGGCACTGGCAATCTTTATTGATCGGCCAGTAAATGATTCCATCTTTGGTCGGTGTATCCTGCAGCTAAATCTTGACATCAGTTTCAGAAGGAACTTGTACCACACGGTACCACACTGGACTCTGCGAGTGCGACTAATTAACGCTTAGTCGTGGATCCTGTATGGAAACATTAAAAAACTAGTACTAATAGTAGTAAATAAATGAGTCAATACAATGACAATCACAATGTCTCTAGACTCTAGTACTAGTACTACTACTACTACTACTACTACTACTACTACTACTATAGATCCAAGAAACGGTATTGCAAAGGTTAGAATAGCTCTAGAACATACTATGGCAATTTCCAGGGAGTAAGCAAAGACAACTTTTTTGCGGTTAATAACTTCTTCGGTATGCTAAATAAAGCACATTCTCTGCCACACAAATGTCTTAAGTTACTATAAACACTAAAATTAAACTGCAAACTAACGCTTAAATGTTGTACTTACTCGTCGACGAAGATTGTTTATCAACTTGTAACCGCCATTTTTCGCTAGTGAGCGGGCACAATGTATTTCCAAGTGGAGGGGTGGGCAGGCTGCGTGCGGTTGCAAACCGCCATTTTTTGTTGCGCAGCGCTAGCGCGGTTTGCAACCGCAAACCGCGTGCAACCTGCCCACCCCTCCACTTGGAAATACATTGTGCCCGCTCACTAGCAAAAAATGGCGGTTACAAGTTGGTAGGCCTAAACAATCTTCGTCGACGAGTAATATAGCAAGTACAACATTTATTATTTAAGCGTTATTTTGCAGTTTAATTTGAGTGTTTTTAGTAACTTAAGACATTTGTGCGGCAGAGAATGTGCTTTATTTGGCATACCAAAGAAGTTATCAACCGCAAAAAAATTTGTCTTTGCTTGCTCCCTGAAAATTGCCATAGTATGTTCTATAGCCCCGCGGCAGAGCAGAGGGCTATAGTTCTAGAGCTAGGGTTAGAATACCTATTGTATATTGTATATTGACGTTAGTCACACAGCCTGGTCGGGTTACTACTACTAGTACTAGTACTAGGCCTAGGCTAGTACTAGTAGTAGTACCTGCTAGTAGTATTAGTAGTAGTAGTCCGAGATTCCTCTGACCAATGCCCACACCGACGATTTAGGTGGATTTGGTCTAACCCACACCAAATCCACCAAAATCGTCGGTGTGGGCATTGGTCAGGGGAATCTCGGACTATAATACTAGTGCTGAGAGGGTATATATGTCCCCCGGGGTACTGCCGGAACATACCCTGGGTACTTTGTTACTGCTAATATGGATGCCCAATGAGTACCCTGGGCATGTCACAGTGGATCAGCCTCTGGGGAAGATTATGGGCTTTCTAAAGTTTTTGTCTACGTATGCATTTGCTATTAACAAGATTTGTGGTTTTGCTGAATTCACATATGTTCTTGCAGGATGCAGTCCCATTCATTTGGCAGCGCAGTTTGCACACACGACGATTGTTGCCTATCTAATAGCGAAAGGACAGGATGCGAACATGCCAGATCGAAATGGGATGACACCACTGATGTGGGCATGCTATAGAGTGGTTAAGTGAGTACCCTAAAATCAGTTGCCGCCCGTTAACTGTGAATATTAATTACTGACAATATTAGGACATTTTTTATGATGTACTGTATAAGCCGTATATTTTTCGCGTACAGATATTTTCGCGAATTCAGACTTGACGGACAATTTCGCGAGTGGTTAATTTCGAGATCTCTGAATTATGTATTATTCGGTATGAATGATTCGCGTGTTGTTATTTTCGCTGCCGGGGACGCGTTCGCGAAATTCGCGAAAATTAAACCACCACGAAATATACAGCTTGTACAGTATTTGATTTTGTTCCAATGTAGCTGTTAAATTTATTATCTGACTGTGATGTAACATGTAGCATATAAATCATTTTTATAAAGATATACGTGTGAATGAAGGTTTATATCGTTTTTGAGCATGCCTGAGTGATAAATTATCTAATGCATGTGCTGAATTGGTTACCACGATGTATATTTATTGTGGTGGCTGGTAAAGCTATGATGTGTCTCGTGTTGCAGTCCGGATCCAACGCGGCTGCTCCTAACATTTAATGCCGACATTCACCTGCGAGATCGTGTGCATCATAACACGGCGCTTCACTGGGCACAAGTCAGCAGTAACCACTCAGTCATTCAAAACCTGCTCAACACTGGTGCTAACGTGGATGCGACAAACGACAAGGTTCCTAATGAGCATTATAAGCAAATGACGTATATATCTAATTCAATCATATTTTGATGGGGAAGGGGTGTTGTTAACATGAGGTTGTGAAATATAAAATGCCAATAAGCCTCTCCTTTCGTGTTGTGAGAAGCTGTTCATATTTCTTCACACCTTCCATCCATGTGCGTCTATCTATAATTATAGGCATCGCAATCCCAGGAAACCCATTGTTCAATAATTTAACGAAAATTACTCGTTGACTATAATTTATTTTGCTCGAAGAAATAACAGAATTAACGCAGAGCTTACAGAAAAGAAACGTTTGCCTCCAAGATGTCAACGTGCGGTAAATACACGAACCGATGGTCGTAAGTTTCTCAACAGTGGTCGTTACTTTAACGTCGGCACGCTAACATAGCCGCCTTGCATCGCAGGGAGAGACGCCGTTAGATATCGCCATCGATAAGAACAACCAGTGGATGGTAGAGAAGCTGCAGGCAACCCGGCGTGACCGTGGGCTCGACCACAGCAACATCTTGCAGCGCTTTATCAACGACAAGGTCTGTGCGTGCGTCTCGGCGTGAATTACATTTCGTGCGCCAGCTTCACAAGGTTGCGTAGAATGAGATTGGCTAAGGTGGTATTTTGCATGGTGTAAAGGTGAGATGAACAAGGGCAGGACATACGTATATAAGCTCAGACAATATGATGTGAGATTGAGTGGAGGTGAGCACAGCTGCTATGATATGGGATTAAGTAAAGGTGCCGACTCGGCATGTAAATGGCTAAGGTTGCCTGAGATGATGCCGTGGATATGACTGGCAAAACGAAGTTTCAGAAATGCGTGACACAGAATAGAGATGAGACAAACCCACTGACATTAGTTAATTAATCTACGCACACTGTTTGACGAAGGTATTAAGCCCGGCGCACACGTGAGTTATTTTACTCAAGTAAAATGACGCATGAGTCATTTTACTCACGTGTGCGGCGGATTTTCGTTGAGTAATTTGACGCATGCGTCATTTTACTCACGTGTGCGGAGAATTTTCGTTGAGTAATTTGACTCGTGCGTCATTTTACTTGAGTAAAATAACACGTGTGCGCCGGGCTTTAGATTACATGTGTGCAAACGAACCTCGTATTTGATCACGTTGTTTGTTGGTTTTTCAGAAAGTACGCTGGTCTGTCATGTGGTTCTGTCCCATGTTTGTACTCTTTGGGATTGGTGCAATATTTCAATGTGGACATCCATATTGGGGCAAACTTCTCATGTTTGCCTGTCTTGGTTTAATATTCCACATCACTCGCAAGTAAGCTGGTTAACAATACCTGTTGTGTACGTTTATTTCCGGTTAATCATTAGATTAGACTCTTACAAATAATGTATTGTTGTAAAGGTTATATGGTTTGCTACACCTTATATGCATCTTTGCAGAGATTTTTTGGCTGTGGGAATTATTACGTGTGATGATTACAGGGCACATATTTTTCAGTATAATTTTGCTGCATTTTATCGTGTATTTTTTCACAGGTTCTTCTTCGATGACCGAGTGATGGACATTGGACCGCTAGCAGTGTTTATGGGGACAATATTTTTAAAATATGTGACATACATCTTTTGGGTGTGGCCTGATATCCTTTTTACTAGAAGTCTGTTCTGTGCAGTATAAGTATTTGTGTAACACAGTACGAAACTTTATATTTATTGCCATTTAAACATGCAATTCTCCTCCAGGTTGAAAAATGGCTCGTTTTAGTATTTAGGACGAGTAAAAGGATTTTGTTCAGAATAGTAGGTAGGAATTCAAACCAGATTTGCTGCTGCATATCTTGCTGACAGGGAGATAAAAATTGTAATCCTTGAGACATTTGTGCAAGCGTAGGTGAGTTAGCATAAAGTTCAGCAGCAATCTTTCTGATGATAACTGTTTTCATTTCTATGGTGTACAGTAAAAACCCGCGTATAAGAACATAGATTTTTCCAAGTTAGCCTCAATAGGTTCTTATATAAATGGTGCTTACTGAAAAATTTGGCTCAAAAAGTTCTTAAATAGGTTCTTAATTGTTTCTACTTTTAATATGTATAAGCTTATACTTGATTCAAATTGTGTTAAAAATTTTCTTACAAGGACTGCAATTTTTGCTAATTAATACCCATGATGGGCTACAGTGTAAGTTTTTCAGTGCTTACCATACTGTATGATACAGTATGTATCCAAGGAAATAAAACAACATGCCAAAAAATGGAGGAGAAAAAAAAGGGGAAAAAACATGGAAAATTAAGAACCTACTTTAAAATCTTAGCCTAAAACAGGTTCTTATGTAAAGGGGTCTAAATGGGAAATTTTAGCCTAACATGTTCTTAAAATATATGTTCTTATACGCGGGTTTTTACTGTATGTTACATAAAGCATGAAAAATATCATCCAACAATAATAGTTGTTTCATTATGATATCATGAATTATCTCTGATAACATTGCTTCCATAGTTTGCCTTCTGTTTAATTAAAGCATTAATTAATTATGAGCAATTAAAGGCTTTTCATGAGGCCATTGAGCTGTGACATGGGCTGGGTACCAATCTGTGGGTGGGTTTATGAGAGTCTGAGCAAACGTTTGGCACACAGCTCCTTAACTGACCGTACTTCTTCGAGACGTGCTCTCTGTCTTCCTTGTTGCTGGCTTCTCTGCAGGGCTCTGGTACAATTTTTATAAATCATGGAAGTCCGATCCTGGAATTGTAAAAGCCAGCAGAGAGCAAAAGTTCAGGGTGCGTATATTTGAATTGTGCTAGTTAATAATATTTAGGATTAAAGCAAAGCAGAGATTGACCTCAATTAATTTCAAAGTTGAAGTATTTCGATACAGGTTCTTTCATTTAAAATTGTGTATGCTTTTTTTCCAACTCGAATTGTTAACCATTGTAACTTTTCTATCTTGCAGAATCTGCTCACTCAAATTATTCGACGTACCCTCTTCTACTCGTCTCGCATGACCTTTTCATTAAACTTATTAACCGTATATGCTCTTCTATTTCTCTTGCAGACAGTGGTGGAGTTAGCTGAGCAGGACACATTTGACCTCAGTTGGTTTTGCACAACATGTATAGTCAAGAAGCCAGTGAGATCAAAGCACTGCTCTTCTTGCAACAAATGTATAGCGAAGTTTGACCACCACTGTCCTTGGGTGGGCAACTGTGTGGGTACGTTGTCCCACCTCTATCTGAGAGCCACTCATCAGAGTATAAACATTATCATTTGTTAGTAACAAAATCTTGCTTAAATAAAATTGTAAAGTGTTCATTATGTAGTAGCACTGGATAATACCATTACAGGGTTCGTAGCAGGTCTTCCAAAGCCTTATAAGTACTTATTTTGCCAAAAATAAAATAAGGGCCCTTATTAGTACTTATTTTTGGTGAAATCTTAGAAAAGTGAAATCTTATTTTTTGCCAAAGTTCTCGACTTAGAGTAAGAATTGTTGTATATATAATACGGAATAATTAAATCTACTGTGCAATTGTGTATATAAATATTATTAGTGTACTTTAATAGTCGGTGATCAATCAGAAATTGCGTAAAACAGTTTTATTTTGGCCTCCAGAAAGCCCTTATTGCAACATGTGTCTTACTACTATGAACCCTGCATTAGCAATAGTGGATCAGCATAGATTGTGCATAGCTCACGGATTTTAGATTGATTTAATTTATGTTTAACAGGTGCACTGAACCATAAGTACTTCATGGGTTACCTCTTCTTCATGATGGGTCTACTGAGTGTCTACATGTACTGCAGCATGGAGTGTTAGTATTCACACCTCACTATTAGTCACTGGGTTTGACTAGTGGCTCATGTTCATAGATATGCTTTGTCTGCCTCAGCTTTAAGCCTTTTTTACTGTTGATACCTCGAATTTCAACTAACTCTTGTATTCGCTAAATATTTGTTCCCTGTTTTCGTTACTCACTTAGATTGGAATCACACATGTATTCCGTATCTGCCAAAGCATGGCATTGTAGCACGGTTGCTTAGTCTAGCACAGTGTCATCCGTGGACAATATGGCTGTTTCTGAATGCGGCGCTCCATACAATATGGGTGACAGCTCTCCTTGTCTGTCAGCTATATCAGGTATAAACTTACACTCTCATAAACTATTACATGTGTATTTTTTGTTATGAATATTGTATATTATATATATGTTTTGTATTGTGTTCGAATTATATAGTTTTATTGTTCTATGGCAAATATATGCTTCTAGATTTAGTAAGAATGTTTACACTATAAGTGACTAGTTTATTTCCAGTGTCATTAATCAAAGATATGTAATGTGTACGAGTTTTTTTTATCAGGGAATTTGATGATAGTTTCGGTTTTACTACAAAAAAGATCGCTAATAATAATTTTCAACTTTTAGATTGCATGGCTAGCAATGACCACGAATGAGCGAATAAACTGTCATAGGTACCAGCATTTTGGAGCATCTCGAAACAGCAGAGCAAAAAGCCCCTTCGAGTAAGCACCATGCATCAGTTTTACTGGCATTGTCTGGTCACCATTAGCAATACGGGACCCACCCAGCTACTACATTTCAACATACATAGTTTGTGTCAGAACCGTGCTGGTACAAACAACATATACGCTATGGCACAGATTTTTTGCACGGAGTCTACTATGCTACTTATCGCATATAAAATAGTATATAACTACATATATTTCCTGTAATAATTTTTGTTGTTATTGCACATCAGCAAGTGTTTTCAAAATCGTACGTTTTGTTCTGACATGACACGTTGCAAAGTTTCACTTTAGAATTTACATTTTGCACGTTTCAGACTGCGAGCGAATCGGTGCACGCGATGCATTGGTTACTTTGTAGACTAATAATGCAGCTGTGCCGTTTCAGCCGAGGCGTCTTCAGAAATCTCGTCGACTTCTTTGAGCTGCGTTGCTGCGGACTGTGCAAGCTGGACCGCGTCGACTGGTTGACGCGCTACGATGCTGAGATGAAGCCCAGCGAGCCGTACGGCTACCAGCCCGTGCCGCGTGAGAACTATCAGTACGTGTGATGCACGCGCGCGCGCACGTCGCCGCCCTGCTGGCTGGTATACTGGCTACTACTGGCTATATGCATGGTGGCCAGGCAATGTCGCCGCGAGGTCCTGCGCGTGGTCTAGATAGATGGTCGGTGAGCCGCTGTCAGTCTTGAATGTTGGCCGACGCGACAGAGAGACGCTGTTGTCAGGTGGCACACAGGATGCCTAGGCAGTGGTGCAGGCATGGCTAGGTAACAGCCTAAAGGACAGCGTAGCGTGGCTAAGGGGGCAGTGTGGCATATGTCACGGCGTGGCTAGGGGGGGCAGTGTGGCATGTATCACGGTGTGGCTAGGGGGGCAGTGTGGCATGTGTCACGGTGTGGTTAGGGGGGCAGTGTGGCATATGTCACGGTGTGGTTAGGGGGGCAGTGTGGCATATGTCACGGCGTGGCTAAGGGGGCAGCATAGCCTCGGTCACAGTGTCATTAGTCAGGAAGTCGATACATTCAGACAGCTTGATACATAAGCACAAAGAGTTCGAGTGTGATGAAGTGAAAATTGCAATCAAAATCAACAACACTGCACATGCTACCTGTAACGATCTGTATGTCAATGTCAACCTGTATTTATCTGATTAATGTTCTTGGGTTAACGCATTTATTCGTCAGTCGAACGCTTGTTGAATGTGCGTGGTCAGGCCCAGTGCAGCTGTTCTATTGTAGTGCATACATAAGCACATCCCTACGTGCTAAATTCCAATGTGGCTACTAAATATTTGACAGGTTTTGGGTGAGTAAACTGCATTCCCAATGTCTCATTCAATTGGAGTTATATTCATAAGAGACTTTAGCAAGCAGCTTTTCCCCAAGGTTGTTCTCTCCTGTATGATTGCAGGCTCGTATGCGTTCGCGTGTTCCAAATATAGTAGACTTACTTGTGTGTGGTAGTAAACATAAATGTGCGTTTCATACGCTGCGTATTATATATTATATATGCGTATGCGCATGCGTGTGCGTGTGCGTGTGCGTGTGCGTGTGCGTGCCTGCGTGTGCGTGTGCGTGTGCGTGTGTGTGTGTGTGTTTGCGTGCGTGCGTGCGTGCCTGCGTGCATTAGCGATTGTGTGGCAGTTTGTATTAGTGTGAAACCAAAGAAGGGTAAATCTAGTCCATGTTGTATTATATTAGACCAGTGGTAAATGTGAGTTATAACAGTCTTCGTACGTGTTCTAGTCTCTCATCGTAATAGCTGCAATGTTTCTATATCGTTAGCGAGATGTACTTATAATTACATATATGATGTTGTCGCTGGTGCCATCGTCATCTTCACCGGCAGAACATCCAGTCGTTGCGATCTATTTATTGTCAGTAGAACTTCATTCTCTTGCACAAGAAGCAGTGCAGACTAGACAGTGACAAGTGTGGGAAGTTAAAATTGTCAGGTTGAACCTTTTATCCGTGTGTACTGCGATGTTAGTTTACACATACTTTCCGTTTACACTAGTTTATAGTGAAGTGTAATGTGTATAAAATATGCCAATAATTTTGTACAGATGCGTTTAATGTCATTGGATGCACTACTTACAAATAAACATTGCTCTGTGATTTCAAAACTCGATTACCGAAGTAGCTGGATTTACAATATGTACATTCATTATAAGACACTTTGTAGCGACATAGTACTTGCGTAGATGCGAATGGTGACAGCGGCCTCTTGCTATACCATGAACATAATTATGTATATATAGATATGTATAGGTTGAGTATAGATATGTTCATGGTTATGCAAACAAGTAAGTCTGATGATATGAAGTTCAATTGATTTCAGTCACCAATGTAGTTACTTTATATATATATATATATATTGCTTCCTTATAGTAAAGATTAATATATATAATTTATCTTACGACCACATGTACAGCCACACCTGCCGTGTCGCCTCTCCCTTTCCCATGTCTACTCTCCCTCCCCTGCTATCCCCTCTTCACTCCCTCTCTTTCTCGTGCGCGCTCTCTCTCT